AGGAACTTACAAATCAGCACTATTTAAACTGACCAAAGTTCTCCAAAATCCTTCACTAAGATCATTCTAACTCAATCTGCTACCACACTGAGAACTTCCTTCCCTGCCCCCTCCCACCCTGCTTGCAGGAAAATCCATGTGTACTTTCATTTGTATTTTATCCATGCACACCTTTGAAATGTGCCTACTTTTCTCCCATTGCCTGAATTGTATTTTTTCTAAAGTAGACATTTTAAAAAATTTATACATTCCATGAGATGAGTTTTAATGCTTGCATATTGGTAAATGTATGGCCTTAGATAGCAGATTGTGTCCAAGTCTGTGTTCTGTCCATGAGGTATGAACTCTAAAATCAATTTCTTATACATCCCCAGTCTGTAGGGAAATATGTCTGGAGATGACTAACTAGCCCAATTCTGAAAGTGAGGACACCAACTGGCACAGAAGAGATTCTCAGCAGGAAAAGCCCCATTCACTTTCAGTTACCCTCTTTGCTCACATCTGGGCAATGATGTTATGATTAGAGAGGAACCAGAAATACAGCTGGATTCCTTTAAGATCAGCCATAGCCCAACTGACTAGCAATTCTGGATGCCTCATTTCTATCTGCACCTATTTTAGGGCTAGCCACTGAGTAGCTCTGGGCTAAATATACCGCTCCCTCCCACCATTGGCGATGACAGCAGCCTGTTTCTTAAACTGAGCTTCTTAATGTGTGTGGCAACGGAAAACAATTGCCTTCAGGTAGCTATCACTGAGTCTAATGTCTCATGCCGGCTTGCTGTAAAAGTGGAAAGCAGAGAAAATACTCTGAAACCCACTCTAAGACTTGCAATTGGGTAGGCAGGAGGCGGGGACTTGTGGCCCTCTAGATGTTTTGGACCTAGAGCACCAATATTTCCTCAGCACTGGCTATACTGGCTAGGACTGAGTCAAAATTTCTGGGTGGTTACAAGCTGCCTCCCTCTGTGGTAGGGGTTCCTTTCCAGATGAATAAGCATTTTAGCTGTCTGCTTCTAATGAATGTGTTTCTGCTTCTGCTTGCCCTAGTAAAAAAATACGCGCTCTTCTGCAAAGCATGAGAATTACAAGGCTACTGCAAAAGACACAGGATGGGGGCAGAAAAGAAGCAGACAATCCAGATGTCATTACTGTGGTTTTTAAAAGGCAAGATGCAGGTGGTACAATTGAAAAGATATATGTTGAATTCAGCCACAACAGGTGTTTTTAACGCTGACACTCTGTTCGCCCTCCTGCCAACACTGAGCAAATCCTCTTTCACACTTTCCCAGAGTCTGCACTGGTTTCCTATTATTTTCTAGATGCAAACCCAAACAACCACTTCTAACTCATCTCAACACAACCTTTCCCAAAAACAGTGAGCAGCCAAATGTGTCACTTCAAATGCGCTTGGTCTCCTAGAGACATACTGCTAATTAAGGCTTACTTCCTCATTGGATTTCATCTGGAAGCAATGTGTGTGGTCAGTTATAAGAAGAAAGCTAATCAGTACTAGTTTCTATAGTTCTTTATAGAAACAGACAAAAAATGTGAGTCAGAAGGGGCTTCCTGGGCCATCTAGTCTGAGCCCCCTCCTCCACCAGCTCAACTCATGTAATCCCCAACATGTGGTTGTACGATCTTTTCTTGAACACCCTCACTGATGGGGCCTCAAACACCTCCCTTGGAAGCCCATTCCATATCCTAGGGCTCCTAAACATCAGGAAGTACTTCCTGACATCCAACCTAATGCCTAGTTCCTTGAGTTTTACCCCATTGGAACACATCCTGTCTTCCTCTGCAGGGGAGAAAGTCACAGCCCTCCTCCACATGACATCCCCTCACGTATGTATAAGTCACTAAAAGATCCCTTATGTAAGTCAAATAAGCAATTTTGATTAGGTGTTTTGAACTTGCTTTCAACCCTTTCGTAGTCTGATAAGTTAATTGGCCAATATTTCAGCAGTAAAACACAGTCTCTGCAAACATAGCCTCATGCTCATCTCAGGCAACAAAACAGATAAAGGACTCGACTCTGCTGACATCTTGGAGTACCCATAGACAGTCCTGACCTATGTGGTCTCCTTCTAAAGCAACTTCACATGTAATTTTAAGACTCTAGTTCAGCGCAAGATTAAAATGTCTTAATGTGGAATCAGTCTTGTTTAGAGCAGATCCATTGAGATCAACAGGACATGTTAATTATGAATAATTTGGGTCCCACTGATTTCAATGGGTCTATTCTAAGTAGGATTAAGCCTAAACCCATCCCTTAAATCACAGGTGATCAATGTCCTGAGGCCGATTTTCCACCTTCTCCTCTCCTGCTGCTGCTGAAATTGAATTCACTGTAATTGCTTGCACCAAATCTTCCACTAATATTCAGTGCCAGAAAAGCCACATCCGTCCTTTTAAAAAAAGGCAGGTGAGAGAGCACGGGTCTTGTTTGAAACAGAAAATCATGGCCCCAAGGGACAAAAACATTGCTAAAAACAAAGTGCATGCTTTTTTAAAAAGACTGTGTTAAAGGAAATATTTGGCATTATTTGTTTATTTATTTGTTGCTATCATGCTGCCAGATTTCAGCAGCAAATTTGGCAGAGCAGGGTTGGTAGGAGCTACATAAAAGGCAGGAGGGTCCATGCAGCCTGCAAGGCACATATTGCCTTCAATCAGCCAAGAATTTCTCCTCTGTACACACTGCTGAAATGAAAGGGAACTCTGCAATAGATCTGCTGCAGTCTTTTGCAACAGCTTTTTTTCAGCAGAGCATAGAGAGCATACAGCAAACCATGTTCCCTATGGTTTATGACCTAAAGCTGAGGGCTGATGTGCTCCAGCAGCATGTAAAAACATGTTTTGGCTAAGAATGAGCAGAACTACTTAGCTCCAGTCCGTGGCACCTTGCATTTTCCAATAATTCTTAAGCTGAGGAAACGCTGAGCATTCCCCATCCCCTTCCCAATACCTGTGGCCTCCCTTACTTATGCTGGGGCCCTGGAACTTGCAGGGAAGCAGGAGTGCCTGCCCCACATAGGAATTGTTCTGTTTTCCACTGAAAGCCGTAGGTTCAGCCTGGATTCTGATAAAAGTGGAAGTCCACATTATCACACTGGTACCACATTTCACATTTTAGACTGTTGCAAAAAAGGATGAGCAAATCAAGTCTATTTTAGGTCTGTGTCATATTGACATGTTCACCTATATGTTCCCTTGGTCCCATTTCTGCATTAATCTGTAGGCCTTTTTTTAACACATACAAAGATTTTTATCTAACTAGGGATTTAAATATTCTTTGTAAACCTAATTGCTCTCAAAATGCACATGTTTAAATCTTTTTTCTTTTTTCTTTTTTTTACAATATGAATTGTAAAACACATTTCGGTTGGCTACTCCATTTATTGATTTTAGCCAAGAAGTTTGTCAGATCATTCAGGAAATGAAAAAGCTGGTAGATAGTCAAGGCCTTATCAGCACATTTGTCCAGGAGGTGCAGATCAAGTCAGTTCATACTGGAATTCACAAAGGTCATATTCTTCAAGCCTCCCTAACAGCAAACATTAGGGCATAATAAAAGTTCTTGGCAGATAATGTATTTACTTACCATGCTCTTTACAGATGGTGATACACCTGCTTTCACTTGCCTTCACAATTGTATGATGGGCAGCAATTCAACCCTTCAAGCACTTCACAAATCTGCCATATTTTTCGCTCTATAAGACACACTTCCCCCCCTCAAAAGTAAGGGAAAATGTCTGTGCGTCTTATAGCGCGAATCTGTGTGTGCCTGACGCCCGGGACGCTGCCAGCCCGCCTGCACCACATGGCACCACCTGGCCGGCATGCGCTCGGCGCGCGCTGCTCCACCCCCCCTCAGGCGCAGGTGAGAGCTGTGCCACTCAGGGGAAGCGGTGCGGAGGAGGGGGAGCCACAGGCTTTAAACCGCCAGCTGCACGGAGAGATGGACTGCTCACCCCCACTGCCCGGGAAGACCTGCCGCCGCTGCCGCGCCACCTGGAAGACCACCACCAGCATGCCGCCAGCCCGGCTGCACCACACCTTGCCGGCACGCGCTCGGCACGCCCTGCTCTGCCCCCCTCCTCTAGCGCAGGTGAGAGCTGTTAATCACAGGTCGGTGTGTGTTTTCAAATGGCAACCCATCTTTTAATGAAGCCCATGTGATGGGGAATGTGCCTGTGATTATCAGGAAGTTTTCCATGGATCCCTCCTCTAAAAACTAGGTGTGTCTTATGGTCAGGTGCGTCCTATAGAGCGAAAAATACGGTATTCCTCTATACTAAGAAAGGCAGTGTAGACTGAATTTCTACTGAAACAATGCAGAGCTGTAAGAGCAAAGAATGCCCTGCAGGAAGACTGTGGCCATCTGTGTTGGGGGCTGGCTGGGCTGTTGAGGAAACCTTCCAGAGGTCCAGGAGCCACTGGGAGGTTGCATAATTTGCCTCCCAGGAAAGATGAAACAGCAACAGGAAAGCAAATCTGGCCCCATGCATTGCTAGGAAGGAGCAGCTGTGAGGAGCTTTCTTCATACCCTCTCCTACCAGAAAAACTACCAATAAATATTTTGTAAATAAGAAGTAGCATCTGATTTCACTCTATTCATCCTCTTTCCCCCTCTTTTCTTTGTCCTTAATGTCTTTTAGACTGTAAGCTTACAGGTAGAGGCTGTTATATTGTAACAATATATTTTCTGTGTTTGGGAAATAATCTGAAAGCCAGCATAAAAATGCTGAAAAATTAGGAGGTGTAACAAAAAGAGAACACTTCTCAAGATGCTGAATACGTCTTTCATTTCAAGGTAAGCCAGTGTGCTTCAATCCAGGGTTGTATTATAACAGACTGCAAATGTATCTTGCAAATTCTGTAACTGTGGTGGGTGCTGGGGGAATGTTGATACAGCCCTCCAAGAACCAGACTTTGCCTTTCCCTTGCTGTAAATACAGAAATTGCTAGCTTGGTTAAAATTCTATTGTATTCCATACCTGCTGCATTGGTTCTTCCTCTAAACACATCATCATAAGCTTTCCACTGGGTCGTCACTTGATAGGCATGGATGAATACCACAAATACCACCACAAGGCACACTAGCGGTACCAATGCAGCTGTGAAAAGGGCTGCGTAAATATTTGGAATAAAGCACCTGGATGGAAAAGAGAAAGAGAGAGACATGAAGGGCATTTTCAAGTGTAATAGGCAGACTGAAAAGCGGGGAGATAAGCTAAAACTTGGTTTAATTACCAACCCAAATAATTTGATTTGAATTTTCGAGGGTTGTTTTTTAAATAATAAAGTAGTGTTTAGCTATATTACACATCTTGAAATAATCAGAGATACTGTGTTGCATTTCATTTTTAACCTAATGTGAGTTAAAAGAAGAAAGTCACAGAAAATACTGCTTTTTCTAAAGGTTTTATTTATTCAATACAGTCACTTTTAGTTATACTGTTTGTTAAAATGTATTATGTAATATTCCATACTTAGCATTTGTAACAACAAACTACATTTCTTAAAACTAGTTAAAAAAAGAAACTTGGCACATAATGCCTCATGTCAATAATTTCCATTCTAGTTAACCCAATTCCGGGTCACTTGTGAGTTGATGTCATATTTATTCTTTCTTCCTTCTTGCTCCATTGCAGTTGCCAATTTCCTTCTTCTTAGTCACTCTTTGCTTTTTTTAATCCATCCAAATTATAATTTTATTCAGTAATTTACATTGTGGTGGGAAAATGGGTGAGCCTAGCCCTTTGGCTTCAATTTTGGTGAATGAACGAAAAAGCTAGTACCCATAATTGGGATGTAAGGCAGATTAGGAGAGGAAGACAGATGAACATAATGGGTATGGAACACTGGCATGACATTAGCAGAGAAGAGGGCAGTGCTGTATCTTCCAAGGAAGTCTATGTATGTGACTACTTCAGCAGGATACATATATTATTTACTTAAAGTACAATTCTGTGCATGTTTAGAAAGAACTTCCTACAACTCCCATCATTCCCCAGCCAGAGATGCTGGAAATTGTAAGGTGTTATTCTTTCTAAACATGCACAGCACCCTTACTTTCTTAGAGTGGACTGGATCCAGACTTAGTCATTTTTACAATAGACTGATCAAGAACAGCGGGACTTAAGTTAGTCATGACTAAATTAAATCTCATAAATTTCAGTGGGTCCATTCTAAACAAGATTGCTTAGACTCTTCCCAATATTTACATAGGGCAACCAAAGTAATGTTTTCTTGTTAGTATATCAAACATAAATTGGTTTCAAGAGGTCTGCTTCCAAGTACTAGCTCCAAATTCTCTATCAAGCCTCAATAGGTATTTTAATACTTTCTACAAGTATAGTAAGTTGTAGCTTGCCTTTCAACATACAAATCCTTTGAGTTCCCTAATTCCAATCAACTCCTTTTGTCAGCTCCTTTAAGCATTCCTATACTAGAACATACGCCTTCAGTATGTTCTAGTATGTCCATTTCATACTTCCATAAGATAATAAAAATGTTGAAACAATGTATTTGTCTCAATTAAATGTTTAGAACTAGCTCCTAAGTATACATCAGGAATGAGCAACCGCTTGAACCCATAGGTGGCACTCATCACACACACACATGCACCAGAAAAACAATTAAAAATGGCATCTGTAGCAGTCATGGAATGGCTAATCCAAATTTGATTGAGAGTTTTGGCACTTTTGAAACACCATAGTTTTTTTTAAAACTGATTTAGACGGGCTAAGGGGGCACATGTAACCCACAGGCTGCATATTGCTCACCTTGGCATGCATCCTTTGAAACCATAATTCTAAGGAGTGAATCCTATTCAACTCATTAGGACTTAATCCTGAGCAGGCATGCTTAAATTGCATGGACTCAAAAAAGGCTTTGCATGTATTTGGAAAGTAAACAGGTCTTGGGCTGTTCAGGAGCAAAAGTTTTTGTTCAAAGTATTTCAGTTCAGAAATACCCATGAACTGTCCTTAACCTATGCTTTCAGTGTCTTCAAAGATGCACAGAACCATTTTAGCTTTATGGAACTTTAAAAGCAAAAACTATGTAGAGGGTACCCATCTCCCCTCCCCACTCCAAAAATAAAAGACTTGTCAATTTCATCTTTACCTTTTCTAATAAAAACATTTGAAGACTATATTTTTCTGAATTGTTATGCACGAGGATCCATGTAGGTTTCTTTCCTCGTAACTGAGTTATGCCAAGAAGAAACATTTATAGCATAAATGTGCATGACTTTCAGAAGCAGTGGTACACCCTGAAGCAGTTTTCTTCAACTTGATAGCCAGAATAGGTGGCCAAAAGCAGCTTAAAATTAAGATTGATTCTTTGTTCTCCAAGATATGCATATACAGTATATATTGATTAGTATGATTGCTGTGAGGGACTTAGCAATGTGATTACAGGGAGACAATTCATCCTGGTGTGACTACAGTCACCCATGTGCCCAAAGATGTCTAGGATCCAAATACAGCCCTCCTGGCACTGCAGCCTGCTCTGCCATTACAGGGACATGGAAAATATGCACAGGCCTCTTCCTTTCATTAACAGCCCAGAATACCAGTGTGCGTGGGTGTACTGACGCTTACATCGTGCCCTCCCCTGTTTGTGCAGCTATGCCTGGGCAGGGCGGCCTCTTGAATGTAGGATTTCCTTTGTGAAAATGCAAAAGATAGACAGATACGGAAGCCCACAAAAACTGCATCACCATCTTGGTTCAAACATGAAACTGACATTTAACAAATCAGTTTTACTGTCAAGCTTGGTAGGTCAAATAATGTTGATTAAAACGGAGGAAAAAAATAATTAGAAGTGTGGCACCACATGTGGGCAAGCTCCTAGCTGCCTGAGTCCTCTCAGCACAGCCCAGAGTGGGTGCCCAAGCCTCACAAAACTTGGCTGCTCTGCACCACCAGAAGTTGCTGCCTCTGTCCACTTAACCTTCCTAGCCAGGGTGGGGAAAGGAAAACCTTTTCCTCCTGGCACAGGATGAAAAGAAAGTGAAATGTCAAGGGGGAAACAGGCCTCTGTGCCTCCACCTCTGGCTCTCTTTCCTTCCCCACAACTCTCCTTCTCCTGATGCAGCTTGGAAAGAAAAGGGGGAGCTGTGTCTGTGAATGGGACAAAATTGGTTGAACCAAAGGAGCAAAGCTGAGAGTGCGAATGAAAACTGACTAAGAGTCTGAAAGCAGGGAAAGTGTGAACATGTGTGAGAGAGAGTGTATGTGAGAGCCAGGATAGAAATGGAAGAGCACATAGTTGGATGATAGAGGAATGAAGGAACAACAAAAGAGGTGAGGCTACTGATATTTGACTTTGCTCTTCCCCCACAGCAACTTTTGCAGATGGCCCCAACCAGGATCATCATGCAGGCCCCAAATGTTCCCCCAAGTGGAAATGTGGCCCTTGGCACCAAAATGGCTCTTTATCTCGTGTCTAAGAAGACAATCCCATTCTTTACCAAGCCCTTTCTTTCTTCTTCTACATATGGCACACTGCTTGTCATGTCTTTCCCACTAGTCCCTAACCTGCACGAGCCTATATGCATTTCTGCATGCACTAGGGAGCTGTATAGCCTAAAATGGCAATCCCATCCATAATGAGCCAGGGATAAATTGGGGTTTATTTCTGAGACATTGGCAGGCCATGGTGACTCATCAAGTGGCTGCTTCATGTGCACAGCCCAGTGCAGGGTTATGCCTACCCAGTTAGCTCCTTCACTGTGCTGCTATCTGTACATGACAGCTAACACAGTATATTATTAAATCTACATGGCAGTCCCCTTTCCAAAAGAAATAACCTGAGCATAATTTCCAATGACAAATCACACAGAGGGTGGCAATGATGTGAACAACAGCATTATAATTATTACACCCACCAAACACAATTAGACACAGTCACTGAGACAAAGGAATTCCAAAGGAAGCGGCAAAGGTTTGGATAATACCAGCAGATGATCTCAAGAGAGTTCGCTCATCCACACTTCCAGTTTAAACCCTTCCAGTGCACCACTGATGATTTGCCCAAGCAGTTGCTACAGACTCAGATGCCTTGGGACTGAAGGGATACACCAGTGGCCCCATTTACAGTCCAGGAAACGGGGCCACCGAGTTGAATGTGTGTGTTATACCATACTGTAAGTGACACGCAGAACAATTCAGTCAAAATGCCAGCTATGTCTTCTAAGTAATAATAAATTACATGTGAACACTGGGAATGAGAAAAAATACCACACTCAGTGAAGCTCAGAATGTACACAGATATATGTTCAAAAACAGCTCTCACTTGGCCTATCTTTTTGAATGGACAATGTCCCATCAAAAGACCTGCTTAGCTTACTAATACTCTTTCCAATGCAAGTCTAGGAATTCATGTGCTAACTCAACTGTGGCCTTAACTCAAGTGTGGTGGATGGGAATCCACAAACACTCCAGTTCTATTGAGATGTCCCAAGAGTTGCCATGGAACTACAGTTGAAAGTTGCCAACAACTCAAGGACCAGTTGAAAATGCAGCCCCTGCCTTACACAAAGAACATTATGGTAGGAGGGAGACCAGAGTGGGCTTCCCCCATCAGTTAAAAGAGGAACAGGTCGAGAGGGATAGCTCACTCCTTCCCTGTCTGAAAAAACACTCAGGGGTTGTTTGGGAACTGCCTTACTGAAGCTAGGCGTTCTCTGTGTTGTGAGCACACACAACACTCTGGCCTTTGCCACTGACCTGGAAACTAAGATTATAATCTGTTTTGAAGATCATTCAACCAAAGGTAGACTATAAACCTTTTAAATATATAAATAGGTATCCTATTGTAGAAATCCTACTCACTACAATGTGACTAACAAGAGATGCTGCTGTAACTCACATATTTAATCACATGGCACCCTCTTTCTTTGAATCCCCAAACACAACATTAAATATGACCCACTTCCCAACCTTCTTGTCCAACTGTTCACATGACCAAAGTCTTCAACCTGAGTTTAATCTAAGATCTAGGGTAACCTACCCCAACCTAATGCTTTTGAGAGTGTGTGTACTTTAACTTCCACTAGCCTTAGAGATGCTGCAATTTGTGGTCCAAAACTTCTGCAGAACATCATGTTGGGCAAGCCTGATGTAGTTCCTAGACCACTTCAGG